TGTCTGAGCGAACTGTATGGTCCCAATGATTGCAAAGTTGCCTTTGGCGAGCGTGAGTTGGCAAATAACAAATGCTGATGACAAATATTTGAGCTTTGTTGTGTCACAGAATTATCAATTTGACTGACCTGAAAATGTTGACCCAACTCGGTTCCAGGTGTTTATAATCACGAGGAATAAAAACGACATACCTTGTACTCAAGATTGTGCATACACATGAGATTTACATTTATAATATCATTTTATTTCCAGGTGGCTTTACATTGACTGCAGACTGGAACACATGTGAAAATGGAACTATAGAAGTGAAATTAACGAAAAACCTTGGCGCAACTATCATAGTAAATTATGAAATTTTTGAAAGTCCAGCTTCTGCCCCAAATACGTTAAGTACAGAAATGGAAGGGAGACCAAACTCTGATAGTTTGAATGCATTCCATAGCGGATATGATCCAAGTAAATCTTACGTCATATATTATAAACAACGGGATGTTCCAAATGCACCCATGCTGTCTTTGTATTTGTTTAGATGTAAGTATTATATGACTACCAATATAATGTATATCAGCAATTATGTTGATCGTTGAATCGTTAATACTTATGCAAAACTCTATTAAGTCAAATGATTGTCTGTTGCAAGCATTCGCAACTAATTCATCAACATTTATTAATGTCATTACTATGTAACTTCCAACTATAAGCCTAAATGGCTATAACAATGTTTTTGGAAGGATCATGCCGTCTTCAAATTATGAAAAAAAAATTACAACGATAATATTCTAGATCAAAATATTCTAAGTTCGAAGCAACGTCACAGAATTAGCAATTTGGCTGACGTTGAACATTTATGTTGCAATTGGCCAGATATTTGTGGTGTTTGTTTCAATGTGTTGGCATTAGTGTGGGGATGGCTTTCACGGTGTCTCTAATCAATTATATTAACGACATATCGCGTGAAGTGACTCGTCTTTGGCTTAAACCTTAGTCATACGGCTCCCAGTTTATGTGGTAGAGGTTAAGTTAAATTCAACTATCACACTCTTTTGTAACTATTCATCCATTCCCAATTCCGCATGCCAATATACAAAGCGTATAGCCATTACGCTTCTGAAAAACTGTCTAGAAACTCGTTAACCGTATTAGTTGGTAAACACCTTTAGTTGTTAACTCATTCATCATTTGGTAAATAATGTTATAGAGTTCATAATTATTAGATGATATGGTTTAATACGGTATCGATCATATAACCAAGGATAACTCATATCTTGCTCTTTGTTCGTCCATTGGTAAATATATGATTCAAGGTTAATCAGGAATTCAAAGTACGAAAGGGCAGTAAATTACACAATATTTGCATTATTTATGAGACTTCCAACAGCGACAGATTTCCAGTGCATAATTTCTATTGACATTGACGGCGTTGATTTCAATTCAATTCAATTCAATTAAAATAATTTATCTATTAAAAGATATCAGAATTTGAATTTAACCAGCTTTTTCACCTTTTTAGACACGAGAATTATTGCCTTTTAAACAGTAAACAAAGCCTCATGGCTTTCTCCTGTGTTAATGTTAATTACCATATGCTGTGCAGTATACTTATAATTTAACCTGTATGGCGTTAGACTTGAAACTACCTCTGGAGGTACTAGTGTTGGTATGGAACCTTGATAGGAGAGTGGCAGCAAAATATACATGTATTGAGAAACAATTATTATTGTATGAATACTATTAACACTCTTTAAGACTGAAATTAACAGCTTAGTTGTTCAGCAATAATTAGCCATTTTGTCACCATGGAAAGTGTATTATATTAGGCACGTTTATTTACAACAATATATAAAAACTCAAAAGCTGGTTTTGGTCACTTCAGTCTATTACTCATTTGATTTGAAGTGTCCATATTCACAATTTTGGGGAAATGTTTTTACACGTCGCAAAAGGATTGAATTTCCGTACACAAACTCAATCAGTTGCATATATGTGGAGACTTACTTTAAATATTTAAAATGTATATTTTAATTGTTCTGTTCTGTTTTTGTGAGTTTCATTGTCAATTGTTGCCAATCGTTTGTCCTTATTTGTGTTTGTTAACTTGAAAATTACCTTACGCGACTTCGTTCTCTTTTTATGTGGTTATACATATTTTCTTGACCGTGTTCTTTGTTTGTCGTATGTTATATTGAATATGTAATATCACAATATGCTTAATTACGAAAGGTATCATTTGATATATTATTTGCTCATAATTTTAAAACAATTATCTTGGATTTGTTGGGAGATGTTGTTGGGGAGTTTTTCTATACAAACAAACGCTCAATTATTTTTCACAAGCAGCAACAATTTTCGTCAGTTGAATTCAACTTAAGGTCTCTGTAATCAATCTCAAGTTTGATGACACTAAACATTATATATGGGGGTTCAATAGTTATCACAGGTTTTGGAAAAAGGATCAGTGGAATTTCTTTAGTACATTCCCAGAGTTCAATGCAATATAAATATTTTATTAACGTCAATGGCGTTTAAGTGTTTTTTTCTTTCACCCAATCTCAATTGTGTAATTACATGCTGATAAACTGTTTTAATATTAAAGATTGTGCATATACATGAGATCTACACCTGGAATATCTATAATTTATTTGCAGGTAACTTTACATTGACTGCAGACTGGAACACATGTGATAGTGGAACTATAGAAGTGACATTAATGAACTTACGTACAACTGTCATATTCGTTTATGAAATTCTGGAAGCTCCAGCAGTAGCCCCAAATACGTTGAGTATGAAAATTGCAGGAGAAGTAACGTCCAATAGTTTGAGTGTATTCCATAGAGGATATGATCAAACTAAATCATACATCATGTATTATGAAGAATGGGATATTAGTCATCCACCCCTGCTGCCTTTTATTTTGAATAGATGTAAGTATTATTACAGGATCACCAGTATAATTCATATTAGCGATAATCAGTGAATTGTTAAATCTCTAATTGGTCAAATGTTTGTCGGTTGCAAGCATTCACATTTAATCCATCAAATTTTATTGATGTCATTACTATTTGTATTTGCACCCATAATCTCAAGTATCTATAATATGTTATTTAAAGAAAGATGCCTCTTCAAATTAAAAAGAAAACGTACAACGATAATATACTCCATATGTTAATTCCAAGTATAAAACAATGTCAAGAATACGTCGATATAAAAATACCGAATGACGAGGGTCATTTAATTTAATCATTAAGTGATTTAATACAATACTCGTGCGGCTTGTAGCTGAAAATTATGTTTTTACGTGCAATACTGTGGTTAATTAAATGTTCTCCACAGAGTAAAGTATGTGGGTTTGATATTAGCATATCTCACTGGTGAGTGCTTTAGCGTGTTTCACTATTGTTGTTTAGGGCGTTTTTTATGTGTTGCCGGTAATCTACAGGCAGCAATTTTTTTCTCAGTGTATTCCTTGTTTCTCGTCTGGAAATCTGTGTTTTGGGTATATAGTTCATGTCACATTGTCTAAACGTTTAGTCGTAACCTCATTATAACCTACAAATAAACCTGACGTATTTATTAAACATCAAATTCTATATTAAGATTCAACACACTTACACAATACATTTATACTGGTCACATTAATCAACCGGAAGTTAGGGAAACCCAAATTGCAACATCTCATATATTGTCGCTCAAGTCGTGAGATAAGCCATTTGTGCGCCTATTTATTTAAATTGCTAGTTTTTCTGCCAATAGCAATCATGCCTTAAAAGTTCTCATATTTGAGTGAAATGTTAAATTCCAATACTCGCGCCTCTAGGCTGTCAATTATCCATTTCACTGGTGTTTGCCAATTCATCAACCTGCCATAAAATCCTTTGCAAACATGCATGCCAATTTGACAATTTAGTAGTAGTTTCACGTTTATTTTGTATTATCTTGTATTTTGATTAATTGACATTGTAATAAATAGGTCCCTGGTAACGAACATTTCCTGGCGTAACCTGTTTTTGAGTTTTATTTCTTAATGGTTGTAACCAGGGCTAAATCACGTTTTTTTACAACAGAAGTTAACAGAATTATTATTACAAATCGATATTTCACAGTTCCACTCGCCTAACATCCATGCAAATATGTCGTACTTTTCAAATATCTAGTGACATATTCTTCTTCGATGGGAGTTGTTGCTTAATTATTCAATGCAATGCAAAGGAACACTATTGGTGCTTATATGGTTTGCGCCTTGTGAACAATCATAATTGTACATCGATTTATTTTATATTATACAATTTATAATTGATTGATCCACTTTGTGGCGAGAAAACAGCGGTTTCCACAGCGGTTTGGACTTGTGACAACAGTCGAATGTAAATTTTGTACTAAAAAGGACCTATAATACAGATTCAAATATTGATGTTTTGCTGAAAAACGGAAACACAGTTGTTATTATCCCAGTGACGATTACTATTCCAGCTGGTCAAACTCCAAGACATCGTACTCACGGCTTCTGCTCCTGATCAGAAGTTACAAAAGTGTACCTTGTAAACTACTTGAATCGTGCAATGTAGATGACAATAACATTTAAATAAGATATATAAATACATGTATTAATCGTTTTATGTATATTTTGCACAATAAATGTTCACTTTCTTTTTTCTACAATAGGCCCAACGCCAACGGGTAAGATGAATTAATTCATTGTGTTGTAGAAAATGTATGTGCCAAATTGTTGTATAAATATAACGATACAACTTGATATGTGGTATTTTAGTTCGTGTACGTTATAAAGTTCACGAATATTTATATATAACATCTTAGCATGGCAGGTAAATGTTTTAGTTTGAACATCTTAAACTTTTGAGCAGTCGTCTGTCCACATCTTTTCGAGAGGCGCTAATCGTGCACATATTATATTAACTTTGAACGAGTCTACAAGTTTATGACCAAATATGACATGCACAAATGAACTAAGAAAGGGTATATGACGTAATTTTCTTATAGGCAATATCGAACAGGATCCTCACATGACAACTTTCGACGGCGTAAGATACAACTTCCAGGGTCTGTGTACATATGTTCTCACTCAGGACTGTAGTAACATTCATGAACCATCATTTCAAGTGACTGCTGATTTCCGTGGGAAATATTCTGAGTTACGTTCAAAACCACTAACTCGTATTAATGCTGTTGATGTTTACGTTGATGGAATGCAGTTACTGCAAATACTCAAAAATGATCATTTTCTTGTAAGTTTTTGCACAATAGTAGATGTCAATGTCAATATCTGTGTGAATGATGTAAATCCGTTAAATTATTTTGGCATTGTCTGTTGCATGAGTAGAAACTTATAATTGAGTTTGTTATAGGGCGAAATTTTTCCAAGGTTCTTTCTTTCTTGTCTAGAAAACTGGTCTACACTTGTGCCTTTATCAAAATGGAATACGCCTTTTACCTAAATGTCACTGATATAAGCTACCAGGTACAATACATATGTTATTCAGTATATAAATTCAGTTCAAATTTTGTTACTTTTTACACTACAGATAAAAGGTCAACTCTTCACCAATTCATCTGCTGTAATTGGTAATGGACAAGGAACTGTGAAGGTAGATGATGAACACGTGTACGTAAAACTGGATAGTCCCGCTCTATCTCTGGTTTGGACAAAAGAGACCCATGGTATCAATATAGCTTTGAATGGTCCTAATATGCGAGGCAATGTCTGTGGTCTACTGGGAAACGCTAATGGTGATCCTGAGGATGACTTCATGAAATCCGACGGCGTTATTGTAACTAAAGATGATATATACGAGTTTGGAGATAGTTGGATGGTCTCTGGAAGGTGAGGGTTATAATTATATCAATATAAGATGTTAAATATTAATTTGTTTGGTCAATGCAATATACTACCTTCCGTATTTGATCATTTAAATTCTAGATGCAGCTTTATGAGTGTTCGGAACCCTAACATTATTCTTTGCATTTTTTGAATTTAGACAGTGTTGGCTACACACTATTACAGTAGAGTTCTCGTAGAGCATAATGAAAAACAACTAGTAACTAGTACAATCTCGTTCATTTATGGATGGATAACAAACTAATGATGTAATATGTTTTTAGCATAGCAAAATTAGTATGAAAGTCCTAAAACAAACAATAATATATTATGTTCTCATTTTTGCGTGGGAAATACAGGCTAAAAAATCATAATTTACATGAAAAAATTATTAATACTCATATTCTTCAAATAATACTTAATATACTGTGTTAATCTCTTTGTCCCTCATAAAATGTTGTAACTTTAATTGTATAAAGGTTCCTAAAAATAATAGTTCAGCAACATATCTAAGCAAAATGAAAATACATGCACTGATTTAATATGAATGTTCAATATAATACAAATTGTAAAAAAATAATATGACAGTACCCCACACCCTCCCCGTG